AACAAATCTTACCTGATATCCATATTATTAATCTTATTATAATCATTAGGAAGTGGTCGTGTGGTGCGTGTATTACTTTTAGTACTCATGTTTGGGCGACTATTAATTCCTAACAATTTAATAATAATATATTTAATATATAATAAAATTCATTGATTACACTTAACTTTCAGAAGTGCACATTTGAATTCATTTCTCAGAGAATAAACTTATTTAAATAAATAAACATTTCTTGTATGTCAATAAGTTATTACATTATTTTCTATTTTAAAGTCTAATTTGTATTGAATTTCAATGAAATACTTTCGATTGAATATAAACATGTTAACACAAATTCTTGTAATATAATTGAAAGTTTAATTATTATTGCAAACTGCAACAACATTTATATAATACTGTTCATTAGATATTATTTATGTAATAAAAGTGTCAAATGATTGCGTGACTGAATCTAAATGAAATACATGTCTCGTCAAAAAAGATCAACAATTTCTTGCATTAAATGAGAGAGAATTCGTGCAAAACTAATGATTCAAATAATATTTATGTAAAAATCATTTCATATTAATTGTGAACATTTTCGCTCTGTTTTTATTCAAATTTAATTACTTTAATAACTCGATTGTGATATATTTGTTCATAAAACATTTTATAAAAAATATAAAATTCTAAATAAACTATTTAATAAGTTTATAAGCAATTATTGACTTTCATTTTAAAAATAGTGTTATTCGCTGAATGAACAATAAAATTCATATATACAATATATTTTATTGCAATTAATATTTGATTTATTTACAATTTCTAGTGAAGGACAAAACTAGATTTATTTAGCACTGTTATTTAGCAGCAAATTTATTTAGCTTAATCATTGTTATTCATATCAAATAAAAATAAAATGTTTTTCAATTATATGCTACATGTCCATTTTTAATCACTTTATTAATATATTGCTAATTAAATTCTGTTTTCTATTAATTAGTGAGATTTAATTAGAAAAATCGCTACAAAATGTTATTAGAGTATTATTTTTAGATCTAGATTTAATATAAATTAGTTTTTATTTATTTGCTTCATAATAATTACTGAATATTTTAAATTAAAACCTTCGAGAGCATTTTTAATCAATAAAAGCTATGAACTGAAAAAATATATATTTTTCTATAGAAATCTCCAATAAAATATACTAAATTCCTTGAAATATGGTTAAAATATAAATATTTATATTATAGATGTTCTCAATAACATACGGATAAAATCTGATTATTAATTATAAAACAACACATTTTCATAATATAATAGAATTACCAGAATATTCATTACTTGAAAAATATTTTTATTTTTAAAAAGTACTCTTTCAAATGATAGTACCTTATATTCATAATCTAGTTTACTTATACTGGGAAAATCATGATTTATAGGATTAATTTACACTTTATTTTGAGCCTTGCTATCATTGATCTCATATTCAGTACTTTTGAGGTGTTTGGAGAAGACAAAGGCTGTGATCATAACACAAATGTCAAGAATGGGTCCAATGATAGTGTTTCTGAGCGATGTATTCACTAAATTCATGATCAACACAATGGTCGTGATTATAAAGTAAGTGAGTGTCAGCTCATAGTTCTCGCGATAGGCGCCTATAATGCCGACCAAAGCCGTGAAGTCTTGCAACAAAACGGTCACAATTGAGATGAATCGCCACACCTGTAGCTGAAGACCACTTAATCCGTAAAACTCCTCTTTATTTATCGCTTGTTGTGCCCTAAAGTAGATCATCGATGAGTACAACACGTATAGCGAACTCAATAACATAAATACACTGAATATTAACAAAAAGTTTTTCACTACAATAAAGCCCACACTTCTGTCTGATTTCATTTTTAACACTCAATTTTGTGATTTACTTTTTGTTAGACCATTGATTTTGCTTAATATTTGCTCAATATTTAAGGTCTCCTCTTAAATCATATTTTATTTGTTTATATAATAGTATTTTTCGACTAAATCTCCTTGACTTCAGATTAGATATAAAGACTAATTCTTGAGAATATCATTATTTAAGTGCATTTAGAGTAAACATATAATTTTGTTAATAAACAGTTCCGTTCTGTATGATACTATCATTTGCCATATAATGTTATTTTCATTTTAAATATAATTAAAATATTATACTTAATATCAAAAATATATCTTAATGCGATTAATTTTGTTTATCCATAAAAATAACTTTCTCTCAATTTTTAAATAAATATGAAAAATGTGATGAATCTCAGATTTATATTATTTCAAAAATTCATTTATTAATTTGAATATTAATGCTATTTATTGCACTATAATACTGAGGTAAACTTATTGTTACTAATTCGATTTATTTAAACGACGATTTATTGTCACGATTTATTTAGATCAAAACAGGAAGTGATCTTTAACATTTATTTAGTTTATAATTAACGTTATTTTATATAACATATATATAATTTTATTGTTCATTCAGCGAATAGCACTATTTTTAAAATGAAAGTCAATAATTGCTTATAAATTTATTAAATAGTTTATTTAGGATTTTATAATTTTTTACAAAAAAAAGTTTTATGCAAAAAATATATCACAATCGAGTTATTAAAGTAATTAAATTTGAATAAAAACAGAGCGAAAATGTTCGCAATTAATGTGAAATGATTTTTACATAAATATTATTTGAATCATTAGTTTTGCACGAATTCTCTCTCATTTAATGCAAGAAATTGTTGATCTTTTTTGACGAGACATGTATTTAATTTAGATTCAGTCACGCAATCATTTGACACTTTTATTACATAAATAATATCTAATGAACAGTATTATATAAATGTTGTTTCAGTTTGCAATAATAGTTTTTCAATTATATTACAGGAATTTGTGTTATCATGTTTATATTCAATTGAAAGTATTTCATTGAAATTCAATACAAATTAGACTTTAAAATAGAAAATAATGTAATAACTTATTGACATACAAGAAATGTTTATTTATTTAAATAAGTTTATTCTCTGAGAAATTAATTCAAATGTGCACTTCTGAAAGTTAAGTGTAATCAATGAATTTTATTATATATTAAATAAGAATAATAATTTAACAATCCTTAATTATCAGCGGGTTTGTACTCATGATTTTCATTATGTGCGTGGTGTGCTGGTGAAGGATTACTAATATTATTCTAATTATTATACCTATAGTCCATTCTAAACAAACAAATATTGAATCCAATCAATATTATCGTAATTAATTATATTTAATATTCACTACATTTTGCATAAAAAGTCCAAAACAGAAATCAAAAAGAAGACGACGATTAAATTGGATAACTATTATGGGCTTTATTTGTGTTATATTACTATTGCTACTAATTGTTTGCTTATATTATTTATTTCATCCGGAATATAAGTGTCGCTCTATTGATGAGAATAAGTGTTATAATAAAGAGTGTATTTCATCAGGTATTTAATCATTTATTTAGATAACACTTGAACATTAAAATTTTAGACAAATTATAATTTATTCAATAATTTGTTTATGTTACATTTATTCAAAAAAGTATATTATATTCGTTACATTAATAAATAGAGGTGTATATTTATCGGCGAAGTTATAATTTATGTAACTTGTGTTTATAGTTAGGAACACTACTAAAAATACTCATAAGAACACCATTAAGAGTTGATCATCGGAGACCTATTAATCTCATAAATCAAATTCACTATAATTCTGGACTTCAATTAAAGAGTAAATAATAAAACATAAATTAAACTTCTAAATTAGTTTTATTTATATAAAATTTTTTTAATAAATTATTGTCAACAATTAATTAAAGATCTCATTGAATCTCTAATCGATGATAAACAACCAATGTATATCCAGAACCTTGTTAAATATTATCGCAGTTGTTTAGATGAAGGTATTATGTCATATTATTTATTTTGACTGTTATGTAAAATAGTAATTGATTTTTTATTTTAATGACTATTAAAGATTTAATTGGAAAGTTGGATATCAAGCCATTGACTGACATAATAGACCGGTTAAGGGGTTGGCCGGTATTGAATAGCACTCAATGGTTTTCAAATGCCAATCATTATCATTGGCTCAACACTTACATAATGATGAGAGAAATAGGAATCACCGCTAATTCACTCATTGATCTTTTTTTTCATATAATATAAGCAATGTAATTATTTATCTCCACATATAAATAGCCGCTTCAATATTAAATACATTGAACACAAATATCAATCCTTGTGATGATTTTTATGAGTATTCTTGTGGTAATTCTATTGATCATCGGAGACCTATTAATCTCATGAATCAAAGTCACTATAATTCTGGACTTCAATTAAAGAGTAAATAATAAAACATAAATTAAATTTCTAAATTAATATTATTTTTATAAAATTTTTTAATAAATTATTTTCTACAATTAATTAAAGATCTCATTGAATCTCTAATCGATGATAAACAACCAAGGTATATCCAGAACCTTGTTAAATATTATCGCAGTTGTTTAGATGAAGGTATTATGTCGTATAATTTATTTTGACTGTTATGTAAAATAGTAATTGATTTTTTATTTTAATTACTATTAAAGATTTAATTGGGAAGCTGGATGTCAAGCCATTGACTGACATAATAGGCCGGTTAAGGGGTTGGCCGGTATTGAATAGCACTCAATGGTTTTCAAATGCCAATCATTATCATTGGCTCAACACTTACATAATGATGAGAGAAATAGGAATCACCGCTAATTCACTCATTGATCTTAAGGTGGAAAAAGACGTCCGAAATAGTTCCCGGTTTATAGCACACATCGATCAGCCCGTGTTTAATATAAATATTACTGATAACAATCAATTGGATCAATATACTAAACTAATGGTGACCATTGCAACTATGATGGGAGTCTATGAAACAGATGCTAGAAATGAATGGTTATCTGTGTTGGAGTTTGAGATGAAACTCATTAAAGTAGTGTATTATTGATTTATTATGTATTGTGAATCCAATGACAACTAACATTATACTTAATTTTCAATAGTTTTCCCTCTCATCCAAAGATCATCAAAACAATACTTATCATAGTAATAGTTATATGAAAGTCAGCCAGCTCAAAAGCTTAGCTCCCAATGTATGTAAAATTTATTTTGTTTATAATATGTTACTAAATGTTGAAATTTATTTTTACAAATTAGATCAATTGGATTCAATTCTTTACGGAATTTGTTAGACAACCAATTGAAAACCATGTTAATATTAGTGATTTGGAAGTTATAGTACTGGCTCCAAATTATATCAAGGAACTTAATCAAATACTTGTTAAAACTGATAAAAAGTATATTCCCAAAAACATTTTAAAAATTATTTTTTTTACATAATTATAGTAGTTTAAAATTATTATCTATAAAAGTGTACTAATAAAAACTCTTCGTATACTAGGGTTTTGGCTAATTATCTCATTTGGAAAGTTATCTATCAATACATACCACTATTAGGCCGAAGATGGAGGGAACCATTAGAAACATATTTACTGAATACTGATCCCAATTATACGAAAGAAAATCGATGGCAAACCTGTTTGAAACAATTGCAGACTTATATGCCGTTAGCGTTGGGAAACATTTATCTGAAACACAATACAAATAGAAAAAGTGAAATTGAGGTCCATTTCTAAAATAATAACAATAATAAAGTTATTTTATATGGTTTTGATAATTAATCTGTGAACTTTTCTCTCGACTAAAAGGTTATTTCAATGATTAATGACATTAAGGAATCATTCATTGAAATCGTTGACAAATATAAATGGATGAGCGATGGAGTGAAGTCCAAAGCAAATGAAAAAATAAAATTAATGAAATTGGGAATAGGATTTCCACAGGATGTGCGGGATGACAACCAAATGGACAATTGGCTCACTGTAAGTCATACTATGTCTTATGTTTTGACTTATTTGTGTAATAATTTCATTGAAACTTCAGTACTTCTATGATTGAATTTTGATAACTTTGAAAATATTAACATTAATTATTTTAACTGTATTTTTGTAATGTTAGGCCGAGATCTCCAGAAAAGACTATTTTAAGAATACTTTACGATTAAATCGATTCTCTGTTGACAAACAAATGGAAAAATTATTTATTAATAAAATTAATAATAACATAAATGTGTAAGTTGCTCAATACACTGTTTATGAATACGAATTTGCATTAATTAATCTTAATTCTGAATATATAAAATATTTATCATAAATTTTGTTTACCATTTTATTTAGCATATTTTATACCACTTGTATTTTGTTTCAACAGAATTTTATAATAAATATTTTATATTATGGTTATTAAATCATTTATAACGAAAATTTCGTCATTATTGTAATTAATTCTCATAAAATTGAACAATAATAATCTTTGTTTAAACTATTATAATATTAACTGAAAATACATGTATATTAATATTTATATTGTAAATACATTTACAGGAATCTAGAAAGAGGTGTAAATCCCGCTGACATTATCATCAAATACAGAGGCGAAGACAACACTTTATTAATATCTAATCTCATAATCGACGGCTTATACAGAGAAGATGTGCCGATGTATTACTTTTTTTTATCAAATCACACAAAAATCTCAATTAAGTGTTGCATGTAAAACTGGTATAGAATAACAATTAGTCTGAATTGCTTTTAGTACATCAGTTTAGGAGACAAAAAATTATTAGATTTAGAAATTCGCTAAATAATACACTTCATAGTCAATTGAATTATATTTTATTGATTTAATAAATTTATAAATTATTATTTTTATTAAAAGGTCACTGAATTTTGGATCGTTTGGTGTATTAATAAGTGAACAGATGCTCAATATATTGAGTGAAGTCGGGCGTCTATACGATGAAAATGGTGTGTATGGGAAGTGGTGGGACACCGTATCAGACAATGGTTTTGATACAAGAATAAAGTGTTTCCATAAGAAAATCAAACATTTTGATGACATGACAACTGGAATGCATTTATCAGATCGTTATAAATTGATTGAGAAGTACATCACAGATATGACACTTCTTAAGCAAACACTGATGGCATACAGGGCTCACACCAAACAAATGGGCCCACAATTAGGTTTAATTGGACTCAACCACACTTCGGAGCAATTATTCTGGATCTCTGCAGTCAATACTTATTATAACGATCGCCTTGATTACCAAGATAATAATTCATATGATATGATGAAATATAGGTAATACTGTATTAAAATTTTATTTTTAAAATAAATAACACTAAAAATTGTGTCACCCAGAGTCAATTTGGTTTTATCAAACATCAGAGAATTTTCTGGTGCTTTCAATTGTGAGCCAAAGTCAGCGATGAATAATGCAATTAATTGCTAAGTGGATCACAAGTAAAAACTTTGCTCGTTATTTGGTATGAATTATTCAATTAAATTCCTATGTTATATGTTATGTTCATTTGTAATTTTGTATAATTATAAAAAATAAAATTCTATTTGTTAAACTTATAAATTCATATTGTAACTTGCTACATATTAGTTCACACAGGCGTTGCCCATAGATATAAGAATTATATTTTTAAGCATTTTATTAATGTCTATAAATCAATGATAAATACATTGGTAATATTTGTATTGAAAATCTTTTTAAAACTTTAATTTCAATTTGAGTCCAATATTTGAGTGAATGGTTGTGTCAGCTCTCCCTCATAGACATACCTACCGGAGCCCACATTTGTGTGAATGGGTTGCTTCAGAAATGATAAATCAATCAATGCTTTCGTATTAACGGGAATATCAATCTATTATTAAATAAAAAATATTAATTAGCAAAATAACAAAAAGTTTAATAAAATTAAAATCACTGTTAAAGTAATGTTAGCGCCGTTAGTCTCCCAACTTGACCCAATTAATCCATGAATGGACGCATACCGGGCCGTCATTTTCTGGAGATTACCGCCGGGTTTTGGTGCGATTACTATACTCTTGAATCCCACCCCTTCCTCATGAGTGTCAATACCGGCCACCGATTGGAAGAGCCATCGACCGACTGATCCCAAGGAGTAGTGATTGAAAGAACTCGGGTCTTGAAATCCCTTCTCTTTGGTCCATCCGTCCCAACGCTCCCATATAGTGGTCGCGTTGTATTTAATACTATAGCCCCACGAGGGGTATGTGTCCTGCAGTAGCAAACGGTAGGCCACATCCGAGTGACCCAATTGGCTCAGTGTTGGACATAAGTAGCCCACACCTCATTGATTTAACACAATTACCAGAAAATTAATTATTAATTAACTTATAATTAAAATATACTGACCAACAAATCCGGTGGTCAGGTGCCAGTCGTGGGCCTTAATATTGTCCACTAAATGGTTGGCCGCTAATGGGATCAAGTTTTGTGGCAACAATTCAAAGGCCACGGCTATGACATACACGGTCTGAGTGTTGCCTTTGATTGTGGCGTCAGTTGTGTTGACAAATGCTTTGACGAAAGCGTTGGCGATATTTGTATGCAATTCACTGTATTTCTTGTGATCTTCCGTACGATTCACTGCTTTCGCCATTTTTGACATAAGGAGGGCGTCGTAGCCGTAGTACGCGGTCGACAGCACCTCCTTTGGCGTGTCGGCCCCCACTTGTAGCCAATCGCCATAATTACTGTTCACTCGTTTGGTCCATATATACGACGGGTTTTGGGATCCGATGTAATCCATCCATCGTTTCATAGCCTCGTAATTATCTTCAATGATCTCAATGTCTCCATACATGCGGTACACAGTGTAGGGCACTATAACCCCGGCGTCACCCCAAGCGGGAGCACCATCTTGAGGATCCTCTACCCGGGGGGCTATATCTGGAAAGCCTCCCTCTTTGGACTGTCCGTCCCTCATATCTCGCATCCATTTGGTGTAAAAGGCGGACACATCCGCGTTATAAGCGGCCGTCGGGGCGAAGATCTCCGCGTCGCCCGTCCAGCCCAACCGCTCGTCCCGTTGTGGACAGTCAGTGGGGACTGACATAAAGTTCCCCCTTTGGCTCCAATGTATGTTTGAATACAATTTATTTACCATTTCGTTGGACGTCTCGAAAAACGACTCGAAAGGTGTGTCCGAATTCACTACCATTCCCTTTATGTTAG